TGTATTCACAGCAGCGTAGGGAGTCTGTACTGTACGGAGTTCTAATTGCACTTCCTCCACAGGGTGTGCTTCTTCTGTGGAATCAATCCTCTGCATTGATTGCTGTTGTTTGTCTGGTGCGTGTTTACCCACATTGTTATAGGATTCAGATGTGTAGACGGAACATAGAAGAGCTTGGTTCCTTCTAGAAGGCGCGGAGAGATGTAACTCTCCGCGGAAGGATAAAAAGTAGGGGACATGATCTAGTAGCCCCTGCTTGTGCAGAGGATCCTGTGCCCCTTGGTGTCATTCCTACCGATACCCAAGGCAACAGCTACTGCTGCTGCTGTTCTACAAGAGTAACAACAAGTGAGTTCTTCTTCACGGGTCAACCAGACTTCATCACGCGTGCATACCACTACACTTGGCGTTGTCGGCTTATTCGTACGGTGTTGTCTGGCTTGGTTGTGTTTTGGCGCGGTTTGGTGCTTTAGGCTGCTGCTGCAGTTTTTTGCGCTTTCGTCCCAACCACAGTTTAGCTTTGCCTCGCTTATCGGTATGTCTCAATCTAGCGTCGGCTCATCGGACTCTGCTTCGGCGAGTCCTGAGCATTCGGAACGTTCGCGTTCGCCAGTGCCATCGCCTCGCGTAGCGACCTTCGGGTCCCCGGCAGCTGGCCGTCAGGCCACACAGCTGCTGCTGTCTTCGGACGGTGCTGGTGCCGCTGACCCTGTTGCCGATGCCGCTCGTTTGTCAGAGCTTCGCGCTCAACGCATTCGGGAGAGGTTCGCCTCGTCGGCTTCGGTCGACGCTAACCCCGTGGGTGCTGTCCTCAAACCGCCAGCACCCACACCTGGAACTTCGGTTCCTGCCTCTGTGTCTTTGGGTGTACAACAGCAGTCCGTCTCGACGGCTGCTGGTGATGAGCTTTCTGGATTCCGGCTTGAACCACATGTCGACTCGAATTTTCCTCTCGCCCCATCCACCGTTGAGCACCCTGCTCTTGGGACCGACATCGGTTTCGACCATGTTGCTGGCCCTGTAGTACCACGCTTGTCCAGTCGCTCGGCTTCTCGCAGCACGTTGCAGTTCGACTATACAGTGCCGGCGATTCCCCCTTTTTCTTCTCGTAGCGATCGTGTACAAGCAGCGGCTCGCGCTCAACGGCTTCGTGACCGTCGTGCATCTGCTTCAGTGACATCACCGCTTGCAGATTCCGCCGCATCACCAACGACTGTTCCAGTAGTTTCGACTACACGGGCGATTTCGATTGCCTCTGGTACACTCCCCACAGTAGCCTCGTCTACCCCAGCTCTTTCGGTTGATTCTACTGCATCTGATCCCGTGGTTTCGCCCACACAGGCCATTTCGTTTGCCTCCGATGCTTTAGCTTCAGTAGTTTCGACTACACGTGCAGTTTCGACTGCTAATGTGCCTGTCCCTGCGGTCTCGACTGCTGTAGGTGTGTTTGCCCCCATCCCTTTAGCTCCGCCGCTACCCACAGTTTCGACTGTTCGCGGTGCTGCTGCCTTAGCCGCCCCACCTTTGCGTACAGTTTCGACGCTGCGTACTGCTGTGACGTCTGCCCCCCCACATGCCTATCATGTTCCCACTACTGGTGCACCTGTCTCTGCGGTTTCGACTGCTGCACGTGTACTTTTGCCCATTCCATTAGCTCCGCCCCTGCTCACAGTTTCGACTGCTGGCGACGCTAATATTCCTGCAGCTCCGCCTATTCGCACCGTTTCGACCCTGCGTACAGTGTCGTCTGCCCCTTTCCCCGCCCACACTACTTCCACACAGAACCCTGTGTCAGCGGCTTCGGCTGCTGTAAACACCGCTGTTTCTATGCCAGTAGATACGCCTCTGCTCGCATTTTCCACAGATTCACGTGTTCACACGGCGGGTTTCGATCCTACCGTTTCGACCGACTCTGCCATGCTAGCTCCTGCTTCGGCGCCCCTAGCTGCGACCTCGGTTGTTTCAGCAGTACCCTCTGCCCCTACCTTTTCCCCTTACCCTTACGCCGTGCCCCCACCCCCCCCCATGCTTTCTTCTTCGCATGAACGTGCTGCTACGGCTGAGGCTTTGCATCGTCTCGAAATCGCAGAGCGCTACAATCGCCATCTCCACGGCCTTCTTAGCACCATGGTGACCACGACTCCGGCCCCCAAGCACTAGCCGACATCTTCAGTTCGGCTTTCGACTCCCGAGCTTCGGGATTCCGCCACCGGCGGCGGAACAAGGTCTGCAGCCACCGGCCGGCCGGCCGAGCCTGTCCAGATGGTTCTACCCCCCGCGGCGTCGGCGACTTCGGCCACTATCGCTGCTTCGGCGGCGCCCTCGGCTTCGGCCACCATCGCTGCTTCGGCGGCGCCCTCGGCTTCGGCCACCATCGCTGCTTCGGCGGCACCCTCGGCTTCGGCCACCACCGCTGCTTCGGCGGCGCCCTCGGCTTCGGCCGCCACCCCTGCTTCGGCAGTACCCCCGGCTTCGGCCACGGCTTCGGCCCCGGCTTCGGCCACGGCTTCGGCCACGGCTTCGGCCACGGCTTCGGCCACGGCTTCGGCCACGGCTTCGGCCACGGCTCCGGCCACGGCTGCACCTCTCTCCTGCCCGCGGTGGATCCCCGCCGCCCTGTGGGACGTCATGTCCGCGGATGCGCGCTCGACCGCATGGACGGACGCCGTTCGCATGGCGAGTGGCGCCGCCGTCGATGCTGACCGGGCGGCCGCTCGACAGGCCCAGGACGATCTCGCAGACGAAGAATTCCACCAGGAAGTTTCTGCCAGAGAGGAGGAGCTCAGGCTCCTGCGAGCGACACGCGCTTCGAATGCGAAGCAAATCATCGACCTAGAGGCGCTTCAAAAGAAGTGCGAACAACAAAGGAGTCAACTGGCCGCCACCCTGACGTCAGACCGGCGCCAGGAGGACGCCCTTGTTGAAGCGGGCCGCAAGGCCGGCAAACGACGGGAGCAGGACCTCCGCGAACGCGAGGAGCGGTCGTCCCGCGCCTCGGGAATCGGCAGGCGAGCTGCCTCGGCACCGACCACCTCTGCCGCTTCGTCTCGAACGTATGCGGCTGCAGCTTCGACCAGCCCGGTCACCCGCTCCTCGTCGTCGCGACGTGGCCTCATCGCGTTCGAGCCAGGTGATTACAGGTTCACCCCGGCTAAGCTAGCCGATGTTGCGCAGTACCAGCAGTTCAACTTCCTCCCTGAAGATAGCCAATCGGTCAGGGACTTGGCCACGGAAGTGACCATCGCGTTGCCGGCGGCCGCCACCATACAGGCGGCGGTGGATGTGGCTAACGCCTCCCGTCCGGATCTTCGGGATCTGGCCGGCCGTTTCCTCGCTGGTATGCGGACGGCCAACACCCGTGCCACTGCTCCGGTGGTGTACCCTGGCTGCAGCGGTCCGCCTTTAGAGGCTTCCTATGGGTTCCAGCAGCCGGCGCCGGGTCGTGTCAAGCAGGCGCAACCGAGTCGGGAGACTGGTCCTGGTAGCTCGGGCGAGGAGTCTGGCTGGAGCTCGGCTGGAGCATCGCGTCGACCCCCGGCGCCTTCGTCCTCTTCGGTGGGTGGTAGCCGGGAGAGAAAGGTGGCCAAGCGTGGCGGGGATGGCGCTCGTGGCTCCAAGAACAAGAGCAAGACCGGGTCAGGCTCGGACACCAGCTTGCCCCGCAAGCCAGGTTGTCAAAGGCAAGTAGTTCCGTCCCTCATGGACGCGACTTCGGATGCTCGTTTCCTTTTGCGTGATGATTTTGTCCCTCCGGCTTCAGCCCCCCCCGTTTCTTCGGAAACTCGTGTTGCGTTTTCGAACCTTCCGGCTTCGCCCCCCCCCCGTTTCTTCGGAAACTCGTGTTGCGTTTTCGAACCTTCCGGCTTCGGCCCCCCCCGTTTCTTCGGAAACTCGTGTTGCGGTTTTCGAACCTTCCGCCTTCGGCCCCCCCCGTTTCTTCGGAAACTGTTGCACCTCCTGTTTTTTCTACCGCTGATTATGCTGTAGGCTCAAGAATCGCACACAACCCCGGGTTCTCAAACCCCACCCCCCCTTCGACTTTTGTGCCCGTACAAGATGTTCATCATGTTGTACCGTCTTGGGATCGTGTTCCGCCTGCTGCTCCTTCGGTTGCAGCTGCTGCACCCCCTGTCGTTTCGGATGATAGT